GCTATATAGTCTTTAAAGAATAGGATTTTTTTTTCCTCCTTCTTTTCCCTTAGCATGGATTTAGAGAATGCTGTATTTTGATGGGTTAAGCCGAGGGCTTAGAGAGATGAGGAGCTAAAACCCAAAGACCACAAGACAGACCTGATCCTCACATTAGAGGAAAAAAACTAAAGTTATTGGCAGCATAAATGAAAACTGAACAGATTCATGATGTGTGGACGATACAGTGGTTCACTGGATACATGAGCGATAAGGGAGACATCTGAGTTAGTGATGACTCCTAAATTTCTAGCTTATCCAACTAAATGGATTGACATGCAGACATGACAACATGACATTGCAGACCTACATTTTCTCCCTAATGAAGGCAGCAGGGAAGGGGAGTATTGGGGAAAGGTAAGGAAGATCATGAATTAATCTATAAGAAAACCTAGTAAAAATGTTGATGGCTGGATGTATGAATCTGGAGCTTAAAGGACAAAGTAGAATTAAGGATTAAATTTTGGAGTCGTCAAAGAGTTGAATTGCAACCGTAAAAAAAGATGAAGTCACCTAGGCCAGGGTATAGAAGGCGGACCAGAAGACTGGGATGAGCAAGCAAAGACAGGACAATCAACCAGAAATAGAGGACAAAAACAAGTATAATGTCACAAAGACAAAGGGGAAAATAGCTTAAGATGGAGGAAGTAGGAGCTGTGCTGGATACATACTGTTAAGGACTTTAGTGACAGCTTTTAAGGGGGTGATAGAGCCAGAAGCCAGATGGGAGAGAATAAGAGAATGAATGAAAGCAGAAGAAATAAACAAAGGCAGACAACTTTTCTGAAAATTTTGATTACAAGGGGAGATGAGAGAGAGGGTAGTTAGAGAAGAAAAAATGGTTGAAAGAAGATAATTTTAGGACGGAAAAAACTAAAATTTAAAGACAGAATCCAGGGAAAAAGTAAAGTTGAAAATACAGAAGGAAAAAAGGATTAAATAAGGCACATACATGTTTAGAATAGTATTTGAATATAAATCTCAATAAATGTTAACTATTGCTATAATAATAATTGTTACTATTATTAAAAATAAGTAACTCAGACAGGCACGGGGGTTCATGCCTGTAATCTCAGCACTTGGGAAGCCAAGGAGGGTAGACTGCCTGAGCTCATAGGTTCAAGACCAATCTGAGCCAGAGTGAGACCCTATCTCTTTAAAATAATAATAATAATAGCCAGGCTATTAAGAAAAGAGGCTAATAGCCATTTCTTTAAAAAAAAAAAAAAAAAAGCCAAGTGTTATGGCGGTACCTGTAGTCCCAGCATACTTGGGAGGCTGAGGCAAAAGAATCACTTGAACCCAAGAGTTTGAAGTTGCTGTAAGCTAAGATGCCATGGCACTCCACTGAGGGTGACAAAGTGAGACTTTGACTCAAAAGAAAATAGATAAAAAGAAGAAGAATGAGTAACTCCAAAAAATTAAGAAAGCAATTTCCATTTATAACAGCATCTAAAAAAAATAAAATATCTGGGAACAAATTTAACCAAGGAAGTACACTAAACATTGTAAGACATCACTGAAACAAATTAAAGAAGACCTAAACAAATGGAAAGACATACCATGATTATGGATAGGAAGTCTTAATATTGTCAAGATGTCAATGCTACTCAGAGCAATATAGAGATTCAATTCAATCCCTATCAAAATCCAATGGCCAATGGCCTTTTTTACATAAATGGAAATGCCCATTCTCAATTCACATTGAATTACAGGGGCCTTAAACAGCCAAACAATCTTGAAAAAGAGCAGCAAAGTTGGAGGACTTACACATATTTCCCAATTTGAAAACTTACTACAAAGCTACAAACTAGTGTGGTGCTGACATGAGAACAGACATATAGACCAATGGAAGAGAACTAAGAGTTCAGAAACCATACATCTATGGCTAATTTTGTGAATAAAAATTATACATACATATACAAACGTGATGTTTTGATATACCTACAAATATACATAGTGAGATGATTACTACAGTCAAGTTAATTAACTTATCCATCTCTTCACATAGTTACAATTTTTTTATGGTAAGAGAGCCTGAAATCCACTTTCTTAGCAAAGTTCCAGTATGTAATACAGTATTATCAACTGCAGTCATGCTGTACATTAGATATCTAGATTTATTTATCCTAGACCCCTGACCAATATCTCTCCATTTCTCTCTCTAACTGATTTTTGGCAAGGGTGCCAAGTCCATTCAGTAAGAAGGAACAATAGTCTCTTCAACAGATGGTACTGAGACAACTGGAATTCCACCTGCAAAAGAATAAAGTTGGACCCCCTACTTCATCTTACATACAAAAAACTGAACCCAAATGGATTGATGACCTAAAATAAAAGACCAGTGGCGGGCACCTGTAGTCCCAGCTACTTGGAAGGCTGAGGCAAGAGAATCAGTCAAACCCAAGAGTTTGAGGTTGCTGTGAGCTGTGACACCACAACACTCTACTGAGAGAAATATAATGAGACTCTGTCAAGAAAGAAGGAAAGCGAGGGAAAGGGAAGGGAAGAGGAAGGGAAAAAGAAAGGAAAGGAAAGGAAGAAAAGACCATAAAACTCTTAGTAAAAAACCTAGACGCAAATCTTCATGACCTTGGATTTGGCAATGAATTCTTAGATATGATACCAAAAGCACAAGCAACAAAAGAAAATTAATTGGATTTCATCAAAGTTAAAAACTTTAGTGTATCAAAGGATATTATCAAAGTTTAACAGGTTTCTGTTTTGGGGTTTTTTGTTTTTTTTTTTTTTTTTT